CATGTGGTGCTGGGGGATTGAACCATGGCCCCTGTGCATTGCTAAGCTTGTTCTAAGTAGGTGCTTTAGACCACTGAGCCATCTCTCCAGCCCCTCTTATTATAATTTTTGATAAATGTTAAAGAGAAATGGAAGGCTTTTCAGAAGTGACATTTGTGTTGTGATCTGAAAACCCTATCACACTTTTTTTTTTAAATATTTATTTATTTTTATTTATTACATTTATTTATTGTGTGTGTGTGTGGCCAGCTCAGCCCACCAGGGGGCGGGTCTGGCTGGCATGTGGTGCTGGGGATCGAACCGCAGTCCCTGTGCTTTGCCAAGCTTGTTTCAAGTAGGTGCTTTAGACCACTGAGCCATCTCTCCAGCCCCTCTTATTATAATTTTTGAAAAAACAAGATTTTGCACTTTTAACTCTGCGACAGAAAAAATTAAAGCTGACATAGTTAAGGATGTGTTTTCTTTAAGATGCAAATACTGAGTTAATGTCTACTAAAATAACCAATAAATTTTATCAAACTCCAAAAAATAAAAATAAAATGCAAATACTGACTTAACTACTAAGCTAATTTCAAGACAGAAGTCTTAAAATGAAACCATCATGAAAAAAAGAGATGTTAAAAAGACTAAGCATGAAATATATCCAAATCCCAGTCTTAAGAAAAATCAATTAAGCCTTATGGATAGCTCTTCACTGCTTTACACACAGACCTGGAACTTAAACTATATACTGTGTAGCTGGGGCACGGTGGTACACACCTGTAACTCCAGCACTTGCAAGGCTGGAGAAGAAATGCCACAAGTATGAGTCCCCAGCCTGGGCTACAAGGAGACCTAGTCTCAGACAAAAACTAACTTAATATATAAACAAAATATATACTGTGCCTCTTTTTCAGCTGGAATATGGAAGGTGTTGAAGAGAAAAAAAAGAAGGTTCCTGCTGTGCCACAAACCCTTAAGAAAAAGCGAAGATATTTGGCAGAGCCTGAAGGTAAAGCACCTGAGAAAGAAGTTTGCCCAGAAAACGCTTCACAAGGCAAAGAAGCAGCTCATCTATGAAAAAGCCAGCACTATCTTAAGGAGTACAGACAGATGTACAGAACTGAGATCCGAATGGCTAAGATGGCTAGAAAAGCTGGCAACTTCTATGTCCCTGCAGAGCACAAATTGGCATTTGTCTTCCGGATCAGGGGTCTCAGTGGTGTGAGCCCAAAGGTCTGCAAGGTGCTGCAGCTTCCCTGCCTTCACCAACTCTTCAATGGTCCCTTCGTTAAGCTCAGCAAGGCTTCAAGCACCAAGCTGAGAATTGTGGAACCATATTTGCCTGGGGGTACTCAAACCTGAAGTCAGTAAATGAGCTAATACACAAGTGTGGCTAGGCAAAGTCAATAAGAAGGAAATTGCCTTGACAGATAATTGATTACTCAAGCTCTTAGTAAATATGGCACATCTGCATGGAGGATTTGATTTATGAGATCTACATATATATAGTTGGAAAATGCTTCAGAGAGGCAATAACTTCCTGTGGCCATTCAAATTATCATCTCCACAAAGTGAAATAAAAAAAAAAAAAAGACCACCCACTTTGTGGAAGGTGGAGATGCTGCAAACAGGGAAGATCAGATTAACAGGCTTATTAGAAGAATGAACTAAGGTATCTACCATGGTGTTTTTATGATTTGGTCAGTTAATAAAGTATCTGATTCCAAATTGAAAATATACACACACACATACAGTGTAGATGTGCATGTATGTATGTGTACTGTGAATTAAAAGCAACCCATCAACATAATTCAGGGTTAAAAAAAAAGTTGGCAAGGTACTACCTTTTTAAGCTATCCTAATTTATATGCTAAAAAATAGTATACCTAAGGGAAATCCCACAGAACAAGCACTTGCCAGTCAAACTGCCTGAAATTCATCAGATGCAGAGATTAAAAGCGCTTTTCATTGCCTTTATGTAAAACAAAGGTAATACAACAATATATTAATTTCAATGTAGCATTTAGAAAATGGCCTGTCACCTAAAATTCCTTTCTATGATTTCAAAACCTACTACATGGGCCAGGCATGGTGGCACACCCCTATAATCCCAGCGCTTGGGAGGCCGAGACAAGTGGATCCTTTCAAATTCCAAGACCAGCCTGGGTTACAAAGTGAGCTCAAGGTCAGCTTGAACTGCATAGTGAGACCCTATCTGAAAGACAAGGAGAAAGAAAAAAAAAAAAAAAAAAGTACTACATAGTCTTGCCATTACATGTATTGCAAAAGACACACAATAGTATTTACCTGATCTAAACAATCATTAACTGAGTGCAGTTTCAATTTTAAGGGTTTTTCTATTTCATAAGATGATTCACCATAGGTCTCTTAAAAGATCTGTTTTCTCAACTTATTTACAAAGCACTCAACTTTTGTGTTTGGTAAAAAATGTGTTGTGATAATTTTTCAAAAATCCATTTCATCTTTAAAAAGAAATATGTACACATACTTCCTTGAGAATAAATAAAGGCCTTCAATATTTGTTACTCCATAAGAACGTCAAATGTTTTGAATTCTTGTTTGGTTAAAAAAAAGTTTAAACATTACCAGAGCACAAGTGCTTGCCTTTATATTAATGGCTCTCCTGATGATAAAATAAAGATCAATGTAATTCTAAGCTTCAGGCTAATGAACTGCGGAGAACAGAAACAAGCAATTTGGCAAGAGTTGAGTAAAGAACTCTGCTTAAAAGCTACCAGTAAAATATACCAGCACTACCCCTCCCCCATTCCCAACCTTTTCAGGTTTCAATTAAGATGGGGCCTAGTTTTATTCTTAAAAGGGGGACAGAAGAGAAAGCAGAGCTCCTGCAGAGAAGTATCTTCAGCAGCAGCAGTTCTACAAATACTGCCAGGAACCATTTCCTTCCCTCTCTGCTGACACAGGTTTCTCACTACAGAGACAGGCGTATCTCTCTGGTTTCTGATCAACACCATTACCTAAAAGAAAGTTTCACTGCATACGAGCCAGAAGATAACATCAAGTAAGTTAAAAATCAAAAATAAAAATAAAAAATCAGGGTCAGATATAATGTTCTATAAAAATGGGATTTATTTTCCCAACTGCAATTTATTTTCATCTTTTAGTTTTAGATTGGCTAAGAAGGGATAAAGTTGTTTAACAAGGCATACACTGCACATTATTTCAAAATGAACTTAAATACTCCAATTGGTAAGACTTCCAAAACGCTCACTGAAAATGAAGCGGCCACAAGCCTCCCCACAGTTCCTCAGGATCAACATCATCCCTACAGACCTAGGAGCCATGCAGGGATTATCACAGCCTCCAAACGTCTCCCCCAAGTCACCCAATTTTTGCTCTAGTAGATGATCACACCCACCTGCGCTTAAAAGTGCACATACAGGACAAATATTTCGTTCTAAAAGTATATGAACTAGTGAATAAAGCCAAACATGAGGTGAAAAAGAGCCAGTGTAAAGTTAATGCCTCTCTAAAAGGAGTTCATGAATGAAACAACTTCACTATGGAAGGAATTATAAAACATCAAAGGTTAGATAATGGACAACAGGTGTCTTTGGGGAGGAAAGAGTAACACTCAGTTGCTGCCTATTTTGGGATTTCCACTCTGAAACCAGTCTACTAACAATGAATTTTTTTCCTTCCCAAGAAAGTCAGGACCACAATTATAGATCCATTTGATAACTATAATGACCCCGTTGCTCTTCTACTCACTTTTTCACTTTAGACTTTAAAACTCTATCTAATCCCAACCTTATGTGGCTAGATTAAAACATGGCCTATGGCCAGATCATTCACTGATCTGTGAACATTAACCAGCTAAGGATTTATTATCAAGAAATGCAAAAGAAAAGGCATCTGAACACGCGCTACTTCCATATGAAATTCTCAAAATACAAATCCAACAGAAGCTATCACAGAACTGCTGTATCAACCAAAGCAGAAACTGTTTCTCTCACCATTATAAGAGCTGAGCTCAATCTTTACAGTAACCAGATTCCAATGGCCTCAAAGAATAGTAATTCCAGACACAGGTTATTGAGCAGTGAGTATCAGACTAGAGTTCTGACTCCCCTCGCCAATTACGAATTTTACTACCTTTATTTGGGTGAAAGGGAACACTGAAGAGATACTTCACCCTACTTAATAACCTCTTCCCTTTCTCCATTCCACAAAGACAACATATTCCAAAAATGGAGAATCCTTTCTTTCCCGACAGAGGCCCCCTTTCCTATGGATTCTTTGGGCAGGATCACTTCTCCCCAGCATGCACGCTGAGCCAGAAAACACTTCTACTTTCACTCTTAAAGAGGGTCCCCCAACACTGATGCACCTCTTCCTTTCTTGTATTAAGCAAATAATACCTTGGTGCTCGGGTTCTCTCCGCACTGCAAAACGTTCAGAGAAGTGGAGGCAGTGAAGGGAAGGTGTCAGTTACCGAGGAACCCTTAAAAGTCTCCAAATTTAAAGCGCCGATGGGGGAGGGGTCCCCTTCCAGAAGGTGGGTGTGTACGGGGGTGTCCCTACCCTAAAAGGGAGCCTCTGTGTGGGCCGCGGCTGTTCCCACCCTGGGAGAGAGGTCGCTACGTGGGAAAGAAGAATGTCGTGCACTAAAGAGAATAGATTCAAATAAGGGGCGTCCCAACACCGTAAGGAATGGGGTGGGGGCGTGAGTGTCAGAAAGAGGGCTGTACCAACTACTAGCGGTCTCCGAGAGGGACCCCCAGTTTGGGGGGAGGAGGGCCCCGCTAGAGAAGGGCTCTGGGAAGAAAGGAGGGTCTGGCAGCGAGGAGGGCTGCGCGTGGGGGAGGGGCTCGGCCCCCTCCCGGAGGCGCCGGCGGGCGGCAACCTCCAGGGGACCATGTGCGGAGGAACTGCTGCGCCCCGAGGGGCAGGGTGGAGAGCAGGGCCTGGGCTGTGCGTGGAGGGAACGAGGCTCCCGGCCGCGCAGGACCGGCGGGACTCGCAACCACACTCACCGAGGCTGCCGGCGAAACCGTCCATCTTGCGGGGAAAGCGCCGGGCTCGGGGCTCCGCGGGGCGGGCACTTCATTCAGCGGACACAGTGGCCGCCGCCGAGCCTGACCGTTCGAGCTCTACGTCGTCCGGCGCGGCTCCCAGCCTCCGCCTCTGTGGCTCGCCTGCCTGCCCGCCCGTCCGTCCGTCCGTCCGTCCGTCCGCCAAAGCCGGGTCAGTCAGTAGCGGCAGCCCGGGCCACTCGAAGTAAAGAACCGCACCGCTCCGCCGCCTGCCCGGCCTCCCTCCCAGGCAGCAGCAGCGGCCGCGAGCGCCGCGCCCCGCCCCCGCGCCCGCGCACAGCGGTGGCCCCGCCCGCGCACGCCGTCACGCTTCCGACTCCGCCCCCCACGTGACGGCGGAGGCGGGGTCTTTTCGGCTCCGCCCCTGCCCTGGCTCGGAGTCGGCGTCCGCTGAGCGCGCTGGGCTGATCCCTGCCCTTGTAAGATGGGCCTTCTAAGGGCCTTGGACCTCGGTCTCGCGGCAGGGTCGAAGTTGGTAGTGCTCAGCTCCCGCCTGGGATATCCTGATAAATCGAGATATTCTTTCCCCTTGCAGCCGCGGGGGAGCCCACAGAGCCCAGAGTTATCTTGCGTGTCCCGCGAGGACGCCAAAGAGGCAAACGAGTAAAAGAAATTTTTTTTCCAACCGGAGTGAAGAATACATTGGGGCGAGGCTTCTTAACCAACTCAAGGCCACCCACCACTGTGACAGCCCAGGTCCCAGGACAGATCAGAAGAAAGGAATTTTAGTGCTGGACAAAACTCAGAGTTCTATTTACCCAACCTCTTACTATGAGGAAAGACACAGAGCCTTAGAAAGAACACGACCTGTCCAAGGTCGTGGAGCTTGCTTCTCTCGAAGCAGAGCAAAAACCTAGGCTTCCTTGCTCTCCCTGGTATTCTATCAGATGTGCAAAGCGATCTGGGAAAGGCAGGCCAAAGATTACCTGCCAGGGAATTATAACAAAGGTTATTTCAAAGGAAGCCTGAATTCTAGGTCTAAGTCCACATGACTCACTAGGTGAGGGTCAAGGCATTCATTTTGGCCTCACTTTTTTAATTTGCAAATTTGAGGGCTGGGTATAGAGCCAAAACAAAATATTGGGCTTTAGTATTTGTTTTCACTCCCCTGACCCTATTGTCCTTCCTTCCACAGACCTTATAGATTATTATGTCCCTTCTGCGACTTGGTTGTGAATATTAGAGTAGTTAAAGAATTGTAATTAAGGTGCTCGAGGGCTAAATTGATTATACAATGACAAAGAGCTGAGTTGAGGGAAAATAAGCCACCTTAGAGTTGTGGTAGATAAGGACAGATTGAAGCAGGAAGATAAGATGTAGCTGTGACTATCTTAAGGAAAAGGACACAGCAGAATTAATTGATCAAAAGGATCTTTTAAAAATCCTTAAAAATCTAAATGTTTGTATTTGTTTTTTGGCTATCAGACCTGTGTTTCTCCTGAATATTGTTTTCTGGGGAGACTGGTCATAAAGCTGCTCAGATGAATTTAGATTAGAGTTTAAATGGATTCTAAGCTTTCTCTTGTTTCCAAAATTAAATGATTTACCCGAAGTTGTCCTTGCAATGGACATTTTTCTAGTGGCAAGTTTCTATTAATCCTAACCAGGGCTGGCCAAATAGTTCAGCAGATTAAAGCACCTGTTTAGGCAGATGCAGGGGCCAGAAGTTCGATCCCCAGGCCTGCTGTGCTGGCCTCGCCCCCCGGGACACACTGAGCCATAGAGAGGCGAGGTGGCACAGGCCTGAAATACCAGCGCTTGGGAGGCTGTAAACAGGAGGATCATTACAGATCTGATCTAGGCCCTGCAGACCCTTTAGACCCTGTACTAAGTACGAAAAAAATACTTAACCAACTAAGCTTCAAGAAGGTCTCAATTCTGAAAGAACTTGCATTGATACACATAGATAAATGTCTATTTATAATATAGAGAAAGTTTCATATTTTGGAGGGCCTGAATCTCACTACTTGTACAGCCCTTTGAAGAAAAAATTAATAAGAAAAAATCTAACTACAAAATTAGATTAAAGGAGTTTTATTTGGACTCAAAATGAATCATAACAGTTACATTTTTATTTGTCTTCATTTTATGTATTTGGTACAGGATCTCACTATGCAGTTCGGACTCCTTGTGATCCTCCTGTTCTCCACCTCCCCAGCACTGGGATTACAGAAGTGTACCACCATGTGGCTGGCTCAGCATGTGGAGGGGGGATCCCAGGGATGGAACCCTAGTCCCTGCACATGTCCTGATGAGCTAGCTACCTTGCTGACTCTAACAGTTACATTTTTTAAGAAGCTTGAAAGTGTTGGAGGAATTATTTTTTACTCATTTTTTAAATGTATTCAGTACAGGGTCTACAGTGTCTCACTACACAGAGCGGAGTAGTGATCCTCCTGTTTTCAGCCTCCCAAGAGCTGGGATTACAGGCAAGCACCACCACGCCCAGTCTCAATCGCTGTCTCAGCACACCCCAAGGTCAGGGCTGGCATGGCATGCTGGGGATAGAACCCCATCCCTGTGTCTGCCTAATCAGGCACTTTAATCCAATGAGCTATCTGGCCAGCGCTTGCTTGCTTACTTGCTTGCTTGCTTTTTTTGAAACAAGATTTTGCTATGCAGTTTAGGCTGGCCTTGAACTCTCAGCAATCCTCCTGTCTGAGCCTCCAGAGTGCTAGGATTAGACATGTGCCACCATACCCAGTTTATAAACATTATTACATGAAGAATTGTAGGCTACAAGTTGTACATAGATCATGTAATTTAATTACCCAACTCACTTCTAATGTTTTCTTCCTAAATTTTTTTACTTTATTTCTTCATATGATAATGATTTTCTTTTCTTCTCTTGATTGTATGTATTGGGACACTGTATAACAGATTTTGTACCCCAAATGGTTCATACATCTTAGCCAATCTGAACACTACAGCAAACCTATGAGATCACTGTTACAAACATGACATTTTGTAAGAAAAAATTTTAATTGAAAGGGCAGGAAGATAATTCAGTTTTTCCTCTAGCTCAATAAGTAGATGATTTTGTTTTTGTGATTGATAGTTGTATGATGCATAAAACAACTTCACACATATTATACAGTGTGTTTATAGATTCATGCAGGCATTTTGATTAATTCGTCTTCACCTAATTCCCATAAAAAAAGAAAAGAAATAAAATGTATAGTGCATTTAAAAGTATACATACTGCATTACTGAGTATATGCGTGATGTAGACTGTGTTATTGCTTGACATCTAAGAAGAGCAGATCTCCACTTACAATGTATATCTGATGATTGGAAGAATTCCTCTAGAAAAGCTTCTGGTTCCATGCATTGCAATCCTTTCTTTCTTCCACACTAGTCACGTACTTGCAGAGCCAGCATATGTTCATATCGCATTATAATGTCTAGCCCTGCACCACCGTGACGGGCTGCCAGGTGAGTCCGTGCAGTGGGCCATGGGAGTATTCCCAGAATCTACTACTGAAGAAAGACAGCCAGCAATAACTTAATTAACTGGAAATGACCATAGTCCATGTAAATGCACTTGGTAAGCTTGAAATTATGTATCCCCAACTCAAATTTCCCTTAACCAGATACCCAAGATATCCTGAATTACTCCAATAATTGTTGATGCCAAGGGAAATGTGCCAAAGGGAAAATTATAGCAAAAAGACACACTTTCCTACACGCACTTGGAAAAGATCCAAGCAAATGGGATGAGCTAGAGTGTAAGTTTTATCAACTTCATGATGAAAACTTTTTACTACAAAACTGACTTGTAATAACTTTTATTCTTATAAAAGCAGTCGGGGCTGGGGAGATGGCTCAGTAGAATAAGTGCTTCCCTGGCAAGTGCAAGGTCCTGAGTTCAATCCCCGGTTCAAAAAAAAAAAAAAAAAAAGCAATCACATTCATACTAACCAGTGAAACCAACCAAAAGCTTAAAGAAAAGAGCTGGGGAAAAAAAGTGCAATAAATGTTTATTCAGAAAGGACAAATAAGGGCCAGCCAAATAGCTCAGTGGATTAAAGCCCCTGCAAGTAGGCGCAGGGGCCTGGAGTTCAATCCCAGGGCCTGCTGTGCCAGCCTTGCCCCCGCCCCCGGGGCTTGCTGAGATGGCAAATGAGACTGAGCTTGTTGTCGCACACCTGTAATCCCAGCTCTTGGGAGGTGGTAAACAAGAGGATCACTACGAGTCTGATCTAGTAGTGAGAACCTGAACACCCTGTAGACCCTTCCCTGAAATACAGAAAAAAAAAAAGAAAAAAGGACAAATAGAATATGTTAGTATAAAGAGACAAAACATACTAGTCACTTTTCTAGAGTAATTGTGGAATCCTGCTGGGTAAGGATGGTGCCACATCTTCTTTCTCTTCTTCCTCCTCCTCTTTCTTCTCCTGCTCCTCCTTTTAGTGGGAATGACATGAAATAAAATTACAATCCCCACAGCTGTAGTTTAGGGAGGGTAGAGAAAGTACTTCATTTGTCTATCTTTCCAAGGCATCCCTTGTCCGTCGTAATCCATGGCTCCTGGCTTTGCTGCTATCCAAAGTTCTTTTTTGTCTTTTATCACATTTTGTCTGCCATCCAAAGCACAGCATGGACAGCCTAGTAAACTCAAAGGACAGAGTCACATGATCACACTGAACTTCAGGGAAAGCTAGAAAGCATTGTCTTTCTGTATGTTCAGAAAGAAAAAGAGAAGCATTTGTGATGGATGGCTCTGCCCCCCTCCCCTTCAAGGCACTCAGGAATTTTCAGTTCATTCATTTTATTAATTTTACTTGGCTGCTATTCAGTAAGTGTAATGGTTGATATGTTGATATGTTGTATCAACTTGAGAAGTTTAGAAGGTTAAGGGATGGGGGGACCAACCGTCCTCACTTTGTAAGCATCCTGAGCCTGTACAAGAGGATAGAAAGTGATGGTGGGAGTGCTACCCCTGCCTAGGGCGTGGTAGTCTGCTTACAATATGGGGGGGAAGGGCAGGGGAGATGGCTCAGTAGAATAAGCGCTTGCCTGGCAAGTGCAGGGGCCTGAGTTCAATCCCCAGTTCCACCAAAATAAAACAATATGAGGGAGGGAAAGAGCCTTGCTGATCCTCCTTTGCCCTTGTTGCATTTGCTGTAGTCTGCTGCCTTAAAGTGTCACCCCTGTGCCATGTGCCACCCTGCCCTGGAGCCAGCTGATTATGGACTGAAACCTCCACAAACTGTGAGCTAAATAAGTATTTCCTTCCTTAATTTGGGGTAGCGGATA